ACGACGACGACGACGACGACGACGACGACGGACGACGGACGACGGACGACGGACGACAGACGACGGACGACGGACGACGGACGACGACGACGACGACGACGACGACGACGACGACGGACGACGGACGACGGACGACGGACGACGGACGACGACGATGACGACGACGACGACGCTCCCCGTCGTTGTCCTCGTCCTTAGTCGTCGTCGTCGTCGTCGTCGTCGTCGTCGCAGCGCCCAAGGAGCAGCCCACGGTGCCGCGGGCGCCCTCGCCGCGGGCGGCCGCTGCAGGAGCCGCCCGCGGAGCCGCCCTCGCGCCCGCGGCGCCGTGGCCGGGCCGGGCGGGCGCGGCGCGCAGCCTGCGCGGGGCGCCGGGGGGCGGCGGCCTCGGCGGGGCGGCGGAGCAGCGGCGGGAGCAAAGGGGGCGGACAGTGGACGGCCACCGTCGTCGAGGTCGTCGTCGTCGTCGTCGTCGTCGTCGTCCTGGCCTCGTTGTCGGGAGCCATCGTCAACGGCGCGGGGGCGTCACCGTCGTCGTCGGCAGCAGAGGACGCCCGCAGCCGAGAAGGGCTCCCAAAGATGGGCCGAACACGGCCAAAAAAAAACGCCCGCTCCCAGAGGGGAGCGGGCGTTTTTTTTGGCCGTGTTCGGCCCATGGGGAGCCCTCGCCAGGCCTCGGGGCCGTGCAAGAACGACTCGGGGCCGTGCAAGTACGGCTCGGGAGCCCTCGCCTGGCCCCAGGGCAGTAGTCTTAAGTCGGGCCTGTCCCCCTACAGGGAGATTTTCGACGAAATAATAGGTCACCACATGCAAACAATAGCGATAATTTTGGGGGTATTTTTCATTTTTCGTCGAAAATCCCCCTGTAGGGGGACAGGCCCGACTTACAGTGGTCCAGACCTCTGGGGCCCACGCATCGAACAAAGTGGAGCGGCGGGATGTTTGGGGAGAGGGGTACAGTGCCGTTTTTAATACATGCTCCGCGTGCGGGTCATGTATTAAACATGCAGGGATTTAGTAATGAGTTCATGCATAAAGTTATTCATACATTGATCATGTCTTAAAACCCAACATTTCAAACATCCTACATATTAAAACCTGCCCTGTAGGGGGGGTGGAAGGCTTCTCAGAAGCACGCCTACAGCACGCTTGCTCCTCGGAAGGCTCGGGCCTTGTCTGCAGACGGAGGGCCCGCGCCCCGTCAGAAGCAGCCTCCCTATAAGAAGCCCTCCCCCTCCCTCCCCCCCCCCCCCCTTCTGCGCGCCGCCAACCATGGACAGATGGAGGCCTTTGTTCGGATGCAACTCCTGGGAGGTCAACTTCTGTTTTCGCCCTGGTCCGAAAGCCGGCTTAATCCAGCCGAATCCCGCGTAGTCCGGCTTAATCCCGCTTCATCCCCGTTAATCCGGCTTAATCCCGCATGGTCCGAGGCCCACTCCGGCGTAACAGCTCCCAAATGGGGATTAGTCCTCCGTACTTTTTCCGACGAAAGCCTCCCAGTAGTTGCCTCCTAACCTTGGCACGGCCCCTTGAGGCCTCGCTGGTTCTGCTGGGGCGCAAAAGTGCCAACACGAGGAGCAGAGAAGGACCCTCAGGAGGGAAAAAACACACAGACACAATTAATCGTCGATTCCTCTGAAAATATGGGAAACTATGGGAAGTGGGGGGGACGACAAACACCCAGAACATATGGCGAGATATGGGGAATCCTGTTATTTGTGTGTATTCATTTGAGTGTCCCAGGGCCCCTTCAGACCCTCTTCTCCTCCGGAGTCCTGGGCCGACGCAGCGCACATGCCACCGACCTTCCACGGGGTGTGCTGCAGCGGGCCCTCGGGGGCGGGCGGTCCTCGCACTCGCGGGGGTGGCCGCGTCGAAGTCCTTGGGCGAATGCAGGAGGAGGAGGAGGCGGAGGAGGAGACGGAGACGGAGACGAAGACGGAGGAGGAGGAGGACGAGGAGGAGGACGAGGAGGAGGAGGAGGAGGAGGAGGAGGAGGACCTGCTCGCGGCCTGCGTTCCTTAGATCCTGCGTTCGTCGTGTGTCGCACGATGGCTGCATACGGCGGGCTCCTGCGGCGATGGCGCTCTCGCAGCGCTGGCGAAGGCGCTCAAGGCTGTGATCTCCGCATCAGCGGGCGGAGAACGACAGAACATGCACTTTTCCGCCGTCCCGGATGCCGGAACATATCATTTCATGCCGCTCTCCGCCCGCCAGTGATCGAGCGACGCGGCAGCACCGAGGGGCGCGGCAGCGCCACAGGACCCGACGGAGTGCAGCCTCTCGGGTGTTGCTAGAAGTACCCCTGGCCCAAGGTCCCCCCAGGATCCTCGGGGTGGCCCAGGCGGCCTCCAGGGCACCCCTCACGAGGCCCAGGGGACCCCAGGGCTCCAAAATGGAGCGAAAAGCTGGGGGCACCTTGGGCCAGGGGCACTTCTAGCAACACCCGAGCCTTGAACGATCGGGGCCGCGATCGGATCGAGGACGCTCTGTCAGAAGCCTCCGCTCGCGCCGACGCCGCGCGAGCCTGCCGTGCTGCAGCCGGTGACTTCGGCCTCGCCGTCCCACGAGCGGCGTCGTCGGCGTCGGCGTCGGCGTCGGCGTCGGCGTCGGCGTCGGCGTCGGCGTCGGCGTCGTCGTCGTCGTGGTCGTCGTCGTCGTCGTCGCAGCGCTCCCGCCCTGGCTGTCCGCCCCTGTTGCGGCCGCCGGGAGCAGGCGAGGCGGTCCAAGTCAATGGGGCCAGGCTCCCAGGCGTCGGGCGACGAAGTCCACACACATCCACTCCGTCGGGAGGGGGGAGGGGGGAGGGAGGGGGGATGGAGGGGGGAGGATGGAGGAGGAGGAGGAGGAGGAGGAGGAGGAGGAGGAGGAGGAGGAGGAGGAGGAGGAGGAGGAGGAGGAGGAGGAGGAGGAGGAGGAGGAGGAGGAGGAGGAGGAGGCAGGAGGAGGAGGAGGAGGAGGAGGAGGAGGAGGAGGCGGAGGAGGAAGGAGGAGGAGGAGGGGAGGAGGAGGAGGAGGAGGAGGAGGAGGAGGAGGAGGAGGGAGGAGGAGGAGGGAGGAGGGAGGAGGAGGAGGAGGAGAGGAGGAGGAGGAGGAGGAGGAGGAGGAGGAGGAGGAGGAGGAGGAGGAGGAGGAGAGGAGGAGGAGGAGGAGGAGAGGAGGAGGAGGGAGGAGGAGGAGGAGGAGGAGGAGGAGGAGGAGGAGGAGGAGGAGGAGGAGGAGGAGGAGGAGGAGGAGGAGGAGGTGAGGAGGAGGAGAGAGGAGGAGAGGAGGAGGAGGAGGAGGAGGAGGAGGAGGAGGAGGAGGAAGGAGGAGGAGGAGGAGGAGGAGGAGGAGAGGAGGAGGAGGAGGAGGAGGAGGAGGAGGAGGAGGAGGAGGAGGAGGAGGAGGGAGAGGAGGAGGAGGAGGAGGAGGAGGAGAGGGAGGAGGAGGAGGGGAGGAGGAGGAGGAGAGGAGGAGGAGGAGGAGGAGGGAGGAGAGGAGGAGGAGGAGGATGGAGGAGGAGGAGGAGGAGGAGGAGGAGGAGGAGGAGGAGGATGAGGAGGAGGGGAGGAGGAGGAGGAGGGAGGAGGAGGAGGAGGAGGGAGGAGGAGAGGAGGAGGAGGAGGAGAGGAGGAGGGAGGAGGAGGAGGAGGAGGAGGAGGAGGAGGAGGAGGAGGAGAGACAGGAGCAGGAGCAGGAGCAGGAGCAGGAGGAGGAGGAGGAGGAGGAGAGGAGGAGGAGGCAGGAGGAGGAGGAGGAGGAGGAGGGAGGGAGGGAGGGAGGGAGGGAGGGAGGGAGGAGGAGGGAGGGGGGTGGAGGAGGGAGGGAGGGAGGGAGGGAGGAGGAGGAGGAGGAGGAGGAGGAGGAGGAGGAGGAGGAGGAGAGAATCCCAGGTGTCGGGCGTCGGGCTCCCTGGCTGGGCCCAGGAGCTGTGCAAACGCCCTCCTGGCCGAGCCACGAGGGCGGGGCGTGTATACGCCGCTGCTGGGCTCAGGATGGGCCCGGCCAGGGAGCGGTGGGCACTCGTCGGGAGGCCTGAGACGGGGGTCAATGCAAACGGGGGTTCAGCCAGGGCGCCAGGGGATCCTGCAGGGCCAGGGGCGCACTGACCCGGGTTTGGGTGCCGGATCCCGCAGGAGCTTGCTGGATCCTTCGCGCTGACCCAGGTTTGGGTGCAGGATCTTGCAGGATCTTGCAAGGGCTGACTGACCCAGGTCTGGATTGACCCGGGTCAGAAGATCCCCGAACTCAACTCCTCGGCACGAACGAAATGGGTACGGAAAGACTGGGTACGATGCCCAACAGCAGTTCCCGTTCATTTTGCACAGGACTCGCTGTCCCCGCCGCCGCAGCCTGTGTCCATTTGAGACATAAGGCCGCCTGCCCAACAGCGGCCGCTGTTGGTTTGGGACAATCGTCGAAAGTCCCCCTGTAGGGGGACACGCCCGACATCATCCGAGTCTCGTAACAAGCGTCGGGGGGGGCGCCGACAGCCCCACGTCGACCCCCGTCGCGGGCGGCCGCCGTGCGCCGAGGGCGCTCCGACCCCCGTCGCGGCGCGAAGACGAGGCGAGGCTGACCCCCGCTGGGAGGGGCACCTCCCCACGCTTATGAATCACCCTCTACCAAACCACCCCAACCTAACCCGAGGGCTTCAGTTTGCCCTCCAGTTCCAGTGGGGGGGGGTCGGGGAACACTGAGAGAACACACACACATGGAATCCGTACACCCCCCAACCCGAAATTTGGGTCTTCGGTTATGTCGGGCCTGTCCCCCATACAGGGGGATTGTCGACGAAAAATAAGAAATGCCACAAAAATAGCCAAACCATAGTCCAGAAATAGTCTGGGGACTATTTTTTTGGTATTTTTTTGACCTTTTTGGGGCATTTTTGTGTTTTTTTATTTTTTTTTCCGTCGAACATCCCCCTGTAGGGGGACAGGCCCGACATAAGTCTTCGGGTCGGGTTGGGGTGGGTAAATGAAGACGCCCAGAGTATATGTAGACTTCCTGGCCCTCAGGCGGGCGCCGCCGCGCGCGGCGCCGGGAGGCCCGCCGGCCGCGCGCCGGCGGCGCGGCGCGACTCCTCGGCGAGCTCCAGCTCGTCGGGGTCCAGCAGCGGGGAGGAGGCGCCCCCCGGCAGGCGGGGCGCGCCCGTGCCGCTGGACTGCTGCGCCGGGTGAGCGGCTCGAAAAAAAATACCCCCAAAATGGTAAAACATAGTCCAAACATAGTCTGGGGACTATGAGGAAGAGCCGCCCCAACCTTGAGTCGGGCCTGTCCCCCTACAGGGGGATTTTCAACGAAGAAAATGAAAGGTACACCCAAAATGGTAAAACATAGTCCAAATTGTTGTCGCTTCGCGAATCCCCACCAGCCCATCCAGAAACGATGCCCAGAGGAAGTGCCTCGATCAGAGAAGTGGGCAGCACACAGAGGAAGCCATTATGAGACATCTTGGGATATCTTGAGCCATCTTGGAGGTCATTTTGGGCTCTCCCAGACGCTCTTGGAGTCATCTTAATCCGTGCCCCCCCCCAAGAGGCCTCCATGTGGCTAAAACCTGTGTAGAATCAATGATTAGGCATTCTCGCCGAGGCCTCTTGGAGCATCTTGGGTGCATCTGGGGGGGCTCTTGGGGCCTCTTGGGGGTCTCTTGGGGGCCTCCGGGGGGCCTCTTGGGGGCCTCTTGGGGCCATTTTGGGGCCATGTTGGGACCTCTTGGGGCTTCCTGGGCGCTTCTTGGGGCCATCTTGGAGGGAGTCGATCAAACAAGAGGGGGGGGTGAATTAGCGCCCCCCCTCGGAAGCCCCTAAAATCGCCTCTTGGACCCCTCTTGGAACGCTCTTGGAGTGCTCTTGGGCGCTCTTGGGGCCGTCTTGGGGCTCTTTTGGGGCTCTCTTGGGGCCCTCTTGGGCCATCTTGGAGCCATCTCCAGGCCTCGGATGGCCATCGGAAGCGAAAAGGCGAGAAAGCAAAAATCATTGATTTTCCTTAGGTTTTGGGACGATTTTGGCCTCTTCGGGGCCTCCTTGGGGAGCTGTTTGGCCACTTGGAGTTATCTTGGGGCCGTCTTTGGGCTTCTTGGAACCATCTTAGGAGCCATCGTGAGCGATCTTGCGCTATCTTGAGCCATCTTGGAGCTCATCTTGGGTTCTCTGAGGCGCTCTTGGAGCCGTCTTGGGCCATCTTGGACGCTCTAACTACCCGCGGCCCCCCCGTCCAGGTCCAGGGGAGGGGGTAGGGGGAGGGGTAAACCCCTCCCCAAGGGGGAAGAGGGAGGGGTGGAAGAGGATCTGCTCTAGACCACCTACGCCCAGAGGGCTGGTGGGATATAGTCTGGGGACTATGAGGAAGAACCGCCCCAACCTTAAGGTCGGGCCTGTCCCCCTACAGGGGGATTTTCGACGAAAGATAGAACAATACCCCCAACATGGTCCAAAAATGCTCCAACAATTAGTCTGGGGACTATTTTTTGAGTATCTTTTTGGAGTATTTTTGGGGGGTATTTTTGTATTTTTTCGTCGAAGATCCCCCTGTAGGGGGACAGGCCCGACTTAACCTCAACCCCGATGCGGTGAGTTCGCGTGGTGTCGACTGGCGGCGACCCCGCCGCGGGCGTTCCAGGTGGAAGGCCGCCAGTGGCCCACAGTCGGCCATTTCTGGAGCGACCTGGCGATCGAGCTTCTGCCGATCGCTCCAGGGTGGAACGATCCCCGGGTTGTCATAGGGGAACAAAAAGTGACACAAACATAAAAACTCGGAGGTCCGCGCGGATTTCTCGGATCGGCGCTGGGCCCCCCCGGCGGCGCCTCCGGCGCCGCCCCTGGCGCGCTCCGCGCGCCAGGGAGGGGGGTCCAGCGCCGATCCGAGAAATCCGCGCGGACCTCCGAGTTTTTATGTTTATGCCACTTTTTGTTTCCCTATGTCAGAAACCAACGCCAGGGTCGCCACGACACGAACCTGCCGTGAGTGGCGTTTGCTAAACGGCTCTGGGCGTTTACCAAACCAGCCCTGCCCTGTTCGATTCCTGCCGGGGGCGCGTTTGCTAAGCGGCTTCGTTTGTCGGGGAGCTTAGTAATTGTGAGGGTGGATGGGTTCGCTTGCGTCGACATACGCGCGTGAGCTGCCCGCGTGCGAGGTCGCGTAAGTACTCTCTTCTCCTCGCGGTGTGACGCGCTGGCGGTCTCGTCACTTTCTGTGGCCTAGGTGCCGCAAGCCGATCACGGGCAGGTTCGTCAAGGCGGGCGGCGCCGAGTTCCACGAGGGCTGCTTCGCCTGCGGCTCGTGCAGCAGGCCCATCGACGGCTCTTACGTGCTTGCCAAGGACGGCAGCTTTCTGTGCCGCGGGTGCCAGCCCAGGTGTCCTCTCTGCATGGAGCCCCTCGCTGGCAGCAGCGTAATAAAGCTCGATGGGCGGAAGATCCACTCCGCGTGCTTCCGGTGCAGCGACTGCAAGTCCAACATCTCCGGCGGGCACTTCAAGGTCGCGGAGTTCGTGTACCGCTGCACCAGCTGCCACAAAGCCGCGTGGCAGGCGCGCGAGAACAGGAAGGACGCCCACGCGGCCTCGCAGCAGCGGCACCTGAAGCGGCAGAACACCTCGAAGTTCCGGCTCGCGTGGCGCGGGGAGCTGGTGCCCAGCTCGGTGGAGGCGCTCTCTGCCTTGGGCGTGCCGCCGCAGCTCCGCCCACGAGGCGAACTCGTGTGCATCTGCCACGACGCCAGGTCCAACCGGGTGGCCTGCGCCCCCTCCCCGGGCGGCGCCCCCGAGAGCGCGGTGAACGTTTCCTACCTGGCCTGCGCGCTCAAGGTGCTGGGCGAGTACGGGCGTGAGCCGTCCTTCTCCCTAGACCCGAAGGACCCGCACAGCATCAGCGGCGAGACGCAGGTGAAGGTGTTCTACCCGCCGTGGTTGGCGGCCACCGTCGTGGGGGAGGTGCTCTTCCAGGCGCGGTCCTTTCTGCCGCAGAAAGGGTCGGAGCCCAGGGCCACCGAGGGTAATTAGGTAACGCCATTCTGGGGGAGGGCGGCGTGCGTGTGTGTGTGTGTGTGTGTGTGTGTAGGTATGTATGTATGTATGTATGTATGTGTGTGTATATATATATATATGGCTGCTTCCTGTACGTGCTGAGCGCGGCTACTTCCGTTCCTCAGCGGTCGATCTCTCACTGTTCCACTCGCTTTGATGTGCGATTAGTTCTGCCGTGCCCCCGCTGTTGCTGCTCGACGCTGCGTGTCCGACGTCGCCACTGACCAGCAGGTTTTGAGCTTGCCCTGAACCTACATTGGTCTTCAGCGCATCTCGTTCGTGCGGCCAGCATTTGGCAGCGCCGCATGGCCTGATGGTTGAGTGATTCAGCTGCTCGCGAACGCTGCCAAAAGTGTGTGAGTGTGGCTGGGCGTAGACGCGCGCTTTCACTGCCTGCACCCGACTTTCTACGCCCCGTCGCCGCGCGTTGGGCCGCGACGCCAAAAAGCGTGTGTGTGTGTGTGCGCGTGTGTGTGTGTGTGTGTGTGCGCGTGTGTGTGTGTGTGTGTGTGTGCGTGTGCGCGTGTGTTTCTGTATGCGTGTAAGTGAAGGCCTGGCCGCTCTAGACGCGCGCGCGACCGCTGCTACACTACATAGTTTCTCCGCCCTGTCTCTGCGCGCAGGGCCGCGACGCCAAACACGTGTGTGTGTGTGTGTGTGTGTGTGTGTGTGTGTGTGTGCAAGTCTGCGGGCTTTCGCTCCTCCCCTTCCACTGTGTTGGTTGCAGTCTGACCTGGTTGTTCGTGCGCCATCTGCATGGCTCGTTGTAGTGACGACGGCTCGGCCAGCGGAGGCGCGTGTGTGTGTATATATAGATATAGCAGGAGGGAAAGAAACAACACACAGACACACTTAATCGTCGATTTCCCAGAATATATGGGACACTATGAGAAGTGGGGGGAAGACACAAATCAAGAACCTATAGGAACATATGGGGAATCCTTTTATTTGTGTGTATTTATTTGTGTGTCCTGGGGCCCCTTCAGTATATATGTAGGTGCAAATGCCCAGAGAATGCTTGCACTTCGGGGTCTCTTACTGTTCTTCTAAGGAGCTGGGCTTGGCTGGCAGTCTGGCGGCTCCGTGCTTGCCGTCGACGCCTCGTCGCCGCCCGTCGACGCGCGCGCGCGTCGTCGCGCGCGCGTGCCGAAATCTGTCAAGAACCGTAGGTTTCGTTGGGATTTCAAAACCGCATGTAAAAACACCTGCTTTCGCAACACCAGCTTGCGACCGAGGGTGCGCTCGCGCTCTTACGGCTCCTAAAGAAAACCAGGTGTTTTTTTCCCAACATGGTTATGGAATTCTGCTAAAGAGGCCTCCGGCGCCGCATGTCGAGATCATTTGCGCGCCCCTTGCGCGCGGTGGGGGGGCACGCTCTGTGTCAAGTTTTATCATGCGGGCCACCCTCGCGCGTCGGCCGCGCGCGCGTGCCGAACTCGTTCCAAATCTTGCATCGCCGACGCGAGGACGCCGTCATCGTCGTTGGCGTGGTCAGCATTCGCGCCGTCACTGTCCTCGCCGTCGTCGTTGTCAGCAACGTCGCCAGCATCACTGATATCATCACCGTGTCCACGCGTTGTCGACGCTGCCATGATACCGCGCCCGCCCAAGTCGTCGGTTCGCACTGAAACGCCCGCTGAGATGTGCCCAGCGGTCAACGTCACCGCGGCTGCGTCGGTCGCGCTAAGATATTTGGCCGCTGCGCGCGCGTGCATGCGCGGGTTGTCGTGGCCGCAGAGATGCACCAGCCAACGCCGAATACTCATCGCAAATGCCGCCGCATGGGGTTCGCAAGTCCAATTGCGGGTGGGTGGGTGGGATGTTTGCGCGAGCAGTGGAGTGGACAATTTCAAATAGAGCTTTGATGGATTGCACTACGTAGATATATATCGATATACACACATTGTGTGTATATCGATATTTCTTTTATCTAGATGTATGTATAGTTCACAACGTATATTGTACCGCGCCGCGTCGGCTGCATCACACTAATTCACAACGTAGGTCGCACCACATATATTGCACCACGTAGCTTGTTCCACAATTCTTGCGTATAACTGAGTATCCAGCATATGTTGTACCACATATAATGCACCACGTCGATTGCACCGCATATATTGCACCACAGATGCCACCACATAGGTTGCACCACAAACATCGCACCACGTCGGTTGTACCACATAGATGGCGCACCACACATGTATTGCACACCATATCTTGCAGCGTCAGTGCTAATACATGTGTACATACATGTATATTCATATCATACACATTGCACCACATATGCTGTACGAAATACATGGTACACCATTGCGCCACATAGATTGCACCACAGCGCACCATATATGGCACAACACCCACTGCACAGCGCACAACTGATATATATATATATATATATATGTATATATATATATATATATATATATATATCACACACACACATACATATATATATATGTATATGCCCACAGTTATATATATATATATATATATATATATTACGCAAGAATGCATAAATCGCCACCCCTTGGCCTGGGGGCGCCCACTCGACAAACATCCGGGCAAACTTTTTGGTACCCCTCCCCGGGGCCTCCAAGGGACTTCAAAATAGCCCAAGAGGCCACCAAGACGGCCCCCAGAGGCCCCCAAGATGGTCCAAGAGGGCCCCGAGACGGCCAGAGATCGCTCCAAGGCGCCCAAGGCGGCCCCAAGACGGCCCCAAAGGCGCCAGGGCACCCCCAAGAGCGCTCGGAGAGGACCCCCACAAAAGGCCCAAAGAGGCAGCAATCAGTGAGTTCCTTTTTGCTTTTGGGTGTTCGTCGCGTTCTCGCGTTGCTTATGGGCCTCCGGCGCTGCAGGGTGGCCCCGGAGGCTCCCAAAACCGGCCCAACACAGCCCAAGAGGCCCCCAAGAGAGGGTCCCAAGAGAGGGACCCAAGAAGGCCCCAAGACGGTCCAAGCGGGCCAAGCGGCCCAAGAGGCGCCAAAGATCGCCCAAGGGGGCCCCAGAATGGCCCCCAGAGGGGCCCCAGAGGTTGAACACGAGCCGACAATTCGAGCGTTCCGCCCCAAGAGGCCCCCTGGAGGCCCAAGAGGCCCCCAAGAGAGCCCACGAGGCTCCCCCAGAGGCCCCACGAGGCCCCCAAGAGGCTCAAAAATATGCACCCAGAGGCACCCAAACGGCCCCCAAGAGGCGTCCAAAATTGCCTCCAAGAGGCCCCCGGGACGCTTCGCACGATATCCAAACGAGCTTCCAAGAGGCCTCTAACCCACAACCCAGGCACGGTGGTTGCATGGCCCGAAGGCCACTAGACGGTCCTTGACGCCCAAGATGGCCTCCAGATGGCCCCATAGGCCCCCAAGATAATTACCAAGATACCCAAGAGGCCGCCAAGCTCCAAGAGGTCTCCCAAGAGAGCTCGAAGAGGCCAAGAAATGTGGATTTCCGAATGGTTTTCGACCAATTTTGGCGTTTCCGCCTGTTACGCTTCCCGACGCTGCAAGACGCCCGAAGAGGCCCCGAGGATCGCCCAAGACGGCCCAATAGGCTTCAAAAACGCCCCGAGACGGCCCCAAGACGACTCGCAAACGGCCGAAGATATTTCCAAAACGGCCCGACAGGGCCCCAACCGCAGCTCAGGACCGGGAACGTGAACCGAGAACCCGAGATCTTCGCCCCAGGACCCCTCCAGGAGGCTTCAAGATGTCCCTAAGAAGCCCCGAAGAGGCCCCAACAGCCCCAAGAGAGGCCCCGAGGGCGCTAGGAAAAAGCGGATTCCAACATTTCATTTGTTTTTCCCAGCCGTTATGTGGTGTTGGGTTTTCGTTTTGAATAGACAGCCCCCCGCGTTCTTTCCTTCCTTCCTTCGTTCCTTCCTTCCTGCCTCCTCTCCTCCTCCTCCTCCTCCTCCTCCTCCTCCTCCTCCTCCTCTTCCTCCCTCCTCCCATCCCTGCCTCTTCTCGCCGCATGCCCACCATTTTCGTGGCCCCACAAGGAGCTGCACCGCAAGCCCCAGTGGGGGTGCCCGCATGCGCCCGCCACGCTCAGTACAGCGTTTCGTGGCACCATAGGGAGTTCCACCGAAGGCCTCAGTGGGGGTGCCCGCATGCGTTCGCCACACCCAGTACAGCGTTTCGTGCCCCATAGGGAGGTTCACCGACGGCCCCAGTGGGGGTGCCCGCATGCGTCCGCCACACCCAGTACAGCGTGGCCCCATAGGGAGCTCCACCGAAGGCCCCGCATGCGTCCGCCACACCCAGGACAGCGCCTTCTTGGCACCATAGGGAGCTCCACCGAAGGCCCCAGTGGGGGTGCCCGCATGCGTCCGCCACACCCAGTACAGCGTTTCGTGACCCCACAGAGAGCTCCACCGAAGGCCCCAGTTGGGGGTGCCCGCGCGAGTCTGCCACACCCAGTACAGCCTTTCATGGCCCCATAGGGAGCTCCATCGCCACACCCAGTACAGCGTTTAGCTGCATCGCAGGCCCCAGTGGGGGTGCCCGCATGCGTCCGCCACACCCAGTACTGCGTTTCGTGGCCCCACAGGGAGCTCCACCGAAGGCCCCAGTGGGTGTGGCCACATGCGTCTGCCACACCCAGTACAGCGCTTTGTGGCTCCATATGGAGCTCCACATAAGGCCACAGTGTGGGTGCCCACATGCGTCTGCCACACCCATGTCAGCGCACCCTTCACACGTCGCGTGGCCCTTTAGGGAGCTCCACCAAAGGCCCCAGCGGGCGCGGCCACATGCACCCGCCCGACCCATTTCGGCACACCATTCAAACGCTTCGTGCCCCTTAAGAAGTTCCACCTAAGGCCCCAGTGGCGACGGTCGCATGCGTCCGACAGACTCCATAGGGAATTCCACCGAAGGCCCCAGCGGCGACGCTCGCATGCGCCCCTCGCCCATGTCGGCACA